TAACTCCGTTATCATAATAGGGATTTGGCTGATCAAATGAATAATAAACTATATTTGTTGCATCATTTAAAATTTCTGTTGAACTTTTAGCTCTAGTTAAAGATAGAACGATGCATCAGCAGAAAAGGATATCGAATTTTTAATAGTCTGCTTCTATCTAAGACTTTTAAAAAAAGAACTGGAATCCAAACCGTGACTTAGTTCAACGTTTTTCAGCCATTGTACTTTCTGTGTGTTTCCTTGTTCGATACTCACTATGTACTACTGATGGTATACTCCGTCTAATTGATCGCTGCCTCCCTGTTAATACCTAGGATCCTTGAAAGCAGAACCTCTATGTCACTCCCCAGTAGATCAATCCGGTGTATCTTCACTATTGCTCAAGAATCACACTCTCTACAGCAAAAAATCTACTAAAAAAAAAAGCTTCAACTGTAAAACTTGTATAGGTAAGATTAAAAAATGTTGAAACTGAAACCGATTGATTTGATGTTGATTGAAGTCGAATTGCTTGATCAGAACCGGAATAAACATAGGGGGATGTGGTTGGTGATAGATATGATGCACCATTAACTATTGAACCACCATAAACACCATATAAATCATTTGTATTATTATCAAATGACCAATAGGCCGATACAACAGTTGTAGACGTAGTTGTGGTTGTGATTATCGCTCCATCTGGAATTTTATGAAAATTCATAGACAGTGTTACTTATATTAAAAGTAAAAGCTTTGCTAAATTTGGAGCGCACGGACTCTTAAAAGCTATGATAGTGGTCTATCCTACCAGTGATAAATCGTATTATATATGCCAAATGCTGACGGAAGGGAACGGTGCTCACTTAACCTTGTAAGTTGATCAAAATAGTCATTTTATAAGGTGTATGACTCAAAAATCGCATACAGATGACTGTTAAGTAAAACAAAAAGTGCATCGTTTGATAAAACTTGAAAAGCTAATGCTAATAGAAGTAAGTATGATGAGGCATTCTTGAGTATGATGGAGCATTCTTTTTGGAAAAAAGAAAGGTGTTAACTGGGCGGTTAACCTAGGGGGTGACCTCCAAAACTGTCCTAAAGTTGGTTCCTAGGTTAAACTTTTTGGGGTGAAGCTAGCTTAACCGGGTCGAAAACCGTGTTACCTAGCTCCACACGCTCGATTGTAGCTCCATTTGTTTTGCTTGGGTGAATTAAAACAGATGGAAACAAGTTATTGCATGGTGAAATCATACGTTAGTGGTGTTTTGCACTATTAATTTAGGAAGTGTAACTACAAGAATGATATAAACATCGCCACAAGGTTCAGCATAGTCGATAACCTATGTTTTCATGTTTTTCTGAAGGTGCTGGAGTGAAGTAGACAGGAGTCCTTGTG